AAATAATCATAAATATTTTTAAATTCAGGATCCTTACCCAGTTCGGTTATCACAGTTTCTCGGGAATGTAACTTACATGCTGTGAGCATTGCCACCTTTACAGTATTACCTTCTTCATCTATTTTTATTCTGGATAGGGCATCTGCTACGATATTTTCCTTTCCGGGGCGTGTGCTTAATTACCAGATTATACTCTTGTAACTTGAGTGCCCATCTTATTAACCTTGGGGATAAGTTTTTCCCTGAGTACAATCTAGTTCCCGCCGCATGATCAGAATACACTGTTATTGGCGCCTTTCCAAAATAGACTCGGAACTTTTGCACTGCTAACAGAACTGCAAGTGCCTCTCTCTCAGTCGCGGAATAATTTCTTTGTGTTTGATTTAAAGTTCTACTAAAAAATGCCACGGGCTGCTGATTTTGCGAAAGTACCGCTCCTACCGCATAATCCGAAGCATCCGCTGAAATTTCTAAATTCTCATCGTTTTCAGGAAATTTCAAAACAGGGGCTTGCGTTAATGCTTGCTTTAATTTTTCGAAAGCACTATTGGCTTCGGCCGTCCACGAGAATCTTGCCTTTTTTCCTTTTTAATTTTAACAATGGTTCAACAATAGCTGCAAAATCTTTTATAAAACTCTAACTTCAATCTTTGGAAGAGTCAAATTTTTCACAATAACTGTATTTGTATAAAACTGTATTTGTATATAAGAGGACTTTTCTTGGCCTTCGGATTTCCGCACCCTCCCGTCAGCAGAAATCCGTTTTAGTTTAAATTTTCTTTCTTCCTTTCCATGCCTTCCTTGTTTTCCGCTGGCCTTCAGACTTTTTTTCTGGCTTACTATTGAACTGTCGACGTTCGCCGGTTGTTTTTGGATACTCAGGGTTTCCTTGCCCTCTGATTCGATTGCTTCCGTAGCCGTTGCTCTTGCCTTTGCTGTGGTCTTAGCGCAACCAAATTGGCTTCGTTGCTCATACTGGCGTCTTCATTTCGAATGTCCGCCGTTCTTCTACTTTCAAACTGGATTGCGAGCTCAAATAACTTTTCCAGTGTAGTTTGGATTCCTTAATTAAATAAAGTCTTGTACTTGGGGAAGTAACCTCGGCAAAATCACTTGGATTATCTCAGGATCCGGACGGCTTTCCATACAAGAGTTTAAAGACGTGAAGTTTTCTTAAAATAAAGCTGGAAAGATTTTCGATTCGTTGCTGGTATATGCTGAAGAGTTCCGTTTCTAAACTTTGCACGATTTCTTACGACAGGGAAGGCTTTTTACTAAGGCAGTCTTAAAATTTTCGTAAGTATAGGTGGGACTTCCCGCTTGACCCAAGAGGCTTCTGCCTATACATTTGAACCAATTAAGCGCTTGGCCCCTCAAAGCGCTGGTAGCTAAGGTGACTTTACGGAACTCATGGACTGGATACAGCATGAAGTGGTCATCCAATTTTCCCAAAAAACTGGTTACCGGTGAGTTTCCATTAAATGTTGCTTCTGGTTTCATCGATGCGCGCATGGTCTGTACGATGTACCCAAATCCTTCCAGGGCGGCAGCTGGCATTTCTGGATTCTGAGCCGCTTCTGCAGGCACCACAGGTTCTTCTTGAAACTCGGCCATGGATATTCTTCTTCGTCGGGCGCCACTATCAGGACTTGTATTCCTCTTTACTTGCTTTGGAAACATGAACTATACTATCCTGACTCGGGACAGGGAGCTTACTCAAGCTATGTTTACTAAATTACGTGATTCAAATCGTTATTTATTGCAACAACTTAAACTGTTATGACACTTTCAATTGCACAAGAGGCCCTTGCTTTTGCAACTGCATTTATTTGTGGAACACTTCCTTTTGCAATAACAGTGTGTACATATACTCCTCTCTTTTCAATCTACACCAGAGCATATCTGTGATTGTCGACATACACCGGTGAGGGTCCGAATGTAGAAGAATGTAATGCAATATTCGATCTTTCACCGACGTATTTGGTGAATGTTAACATTCTCCGGTGAAAGTCGACATTCTTTAATTTCGGTCTTTCAAGGTAACATATTTTTATACGATTATATACATATATATATATATATATATATATATATATAACACTTTCAATTGCGCAAGAGGCCCTTGCATTTACAATTGCATTTATTTGTGGAACACTTCCTTTGCAATAACAGTGTGTACATATACTCTTCTGTTTTCAATCTACGAAAGTCGACATTCTCCAATTTCGGTCTTTCACAGTAACATATGTTTATACGATTATATATATATATATATGTATATAATATTAACACTTTCAATTGCACAAGAGGCCCTTGCTTTTACAACTGCATTTATTTGTGGAACACTTCCTTTTGCAATAACAGTGTGTACATATACTCCGCTCTTTCCAATCTACACCAGAGCATATCTGTGATTATCGACATACACCGGTGAGGGTCCGAATGTAGAAGAATGTAATGCAATATTTGATCTTTCACCGACGTATTTGGTGAATGTTGACATTCTCCGGTGAAAGTCGATATTCTCCAATTTCGGTCTTTCACGGTAACATATGTTTATAAGATTATATAAACATTAATAATTACATAACCAGGAAACATTAATATCCAGGGCTAAGCCTAAAGACTCTAGAGATCTGAGATGGGATTCGATTTTGTCAAACAGTGACACTAGCGGCAACCGATCTTTCCCTTGTGAGCGTACATTTTGGATAATTAATTTTAACAATTTCCTCACATATATCTCAGTTAAAATTTCCTTGTTTCCAAAACGCTCCTCAAACGCAAAGGTTTTCGGGTAATTTCAGCCGTTAAAAGGATTACTATTTATCTCACTAGCCCGAGTTCTGGGTAACATTGATTAAGCTAAATAATGGAATTTGTCAACGTCATAAGCTCCTTATCCTCATGGATCTTTTTAAATGACCCAAAATGTAAGGTAACTTAATAATTTCCATCGAATTTTTTAATTGAATTTCGGCAACTTGTACAGTTTTCCATAGAAGCACTTATGCTACTACGTGTTAGAACTCGTATTGACACTACGGTCAACCGCATTATCTATATTCTCTTTCACCCGACGATTAAGTGTGATAAACTCATCTGAATATTCTCGAGCCTATACCTCTGTTTCCAGATCATTTCAGCGCTTTTCCCTTAATCATGAATCTAGTATTTCTGAATCGCAAGATCTCAACTCAGGCAATACCATCTGCAACTTCAAAATTTGGTCTTTCAATACATCTCTATCCGCTTGAACATCTTTACAAAGTTCGGTTTTTAGAATCTTAGCCGTCGTAGTAAAGGCATTGCGTGCCGTTGCACGCTTTTTCTTCAACAATCAACTCCATTTTATTTTAAATGCAGACCCACTCAAAACCTGATGTTATTACCAACCGACAAATTCTCAAAATTCGTCTTTACTCAGCAATTCGAAAATAAACTCAATATAATAAAATGAATAAAATATGTCATAACATTCATAATACAGCAAAACAAAATTTTTTAATATCACATCAGAAGATTCCCGTTTCGAATCCTGGCTGGCTCGCCATTTTGTTATGTCTTGGAGCAAAAACAATTTTACTTTACACCTGACTGCCACTGGCTCCGACATAGCAATGTGAATACTCTACATCTAAATTTTAAACACCATTCCAGAATTTTAACTGTTAATTTAAGAGAATTATATTCATATATTGCAAGTTATACACTATAAAAACAATAAACAAAAATTTAACTTATCTGCACCAGCGTGAATAGCCTGGCATAATATTCTGAACTCAACGCAACTTTAGCAAGGAAAATACCGCAATTCAACACAAGGTTTCATCCCTTCCAACGCAGCTAATTTCTAAATATATTTACTAATATCTGCAGCGGGGCAGCGAATTCCATTTCATTCACTCAAAAACTCAAATGTTTTTAACGCAAATAGATCGCAGAAGAGCAAAAAACATCGATCAAAATCAAATTTAAATCTATAGAATATCATCCGCTGTTGCCATTCCAGCACTGCCAAGTTTTTCTTCCTGCAGCTGTTGCCAGACTATCCTCGCTGTATGATGACAGGTACACAATAGTTATGTTACTTAGTAAAATTATGTACATCTCTGTGATGATATATGTCTTTCTAGTTAGATCTTAAGATAAGGGCATACATTACTGTAGAATTCCTTTTTTTTTTTTAACTTAGCAAAGTTTGCTTCTTAAGACACTAATTTTGCAAATGAATCCTTTAACTACACTCATGGACACAATTGTATTTAGGTATTTTCTACTTCTTTTCCTTTTCTTTCTATAGGCCCTTTTTTGCTTTTTTTCCTCTCTATTATTTTTGGGCCATTTATTTTAATTTTATTTTGTCCCATCTTTTCTTTCTGGTTTTGAACTCGTACAAAATGTACGAAGTTCCTTTTACTCTCCTCAAATACGAAATGCCCCCCTTTATATACCTTTCCTTCGCACCTATGCTTAATTTTTCGCCCATCGGTGCAGAAAGACTTAGCGGGTGCAAAACAAGACACCTGTCTAGTTTGTCTGTCTGTCGGCACGTACCCAACACATATCAAATACAACACACTACACACATAAGAATCACTACCTTAATTGACTCATTTACGCTAAACTGACTCTGCGGTTTACCACCCGCGACTTCATTATATAACGACACTGAACTTGCGGCACCCCCTTTTTTCGCCGCCGCTAGTGCGGACCTCACTCTCTTTTTTCGCCTCCCACACTCCTTTCACCCTACTCTTTCTCCCCACCCCACCCGATCGTTATCAGAAGTCGAGTAAAAAGATGTTTCTACATCTTTACACTCGAGAATAAAATACGATCTGTATGTGTGAAACTCAAATTCACTATATGTTCTTAGTAGTACAGTCTAAGGCTCCTCTAAAGACCTCTAAGACTGTACTAAGGCTATAAGGTATATAGGAGCCTTGTTGCCTTAGTACAGTCAGATTTACGAGAGTAATATACTTCCGCTCACGTGATATACGAACTTCCTCTATCACGGGTTTCCCACATGTTTAAAAAAAAAATTTGAATTGCGCGCAGCAGTTTAGGATCACGTGGGGATCTAAGCGCAAAAGCAAACCTTAAACTATTGATTTATTGTCTAGTCATATGTTTGTTGTTATTATTGTATACTTATGATAATAAGGACCATAGTAATTTTGCAACAGTTGTTTTCTTTTACCTCAATTATTCACTATTAAAAATGATTAGAAAAGAGCAGCAGTTTACGTTTGATGTATATATTGGAAATGTTCCGAATCATATACAGCAGGTATTATTCCACGTGGTTATTTATGCTTCGTTTGTACTTTTTTAGCATATTTGTAAAAATTTTTTAAGGAATTCATGATTATTATAGTGGTAATGGTTCTTTTGGAGTTACCAATTTTAATTAGAATAAAATTGTGATCATACCGTGCTATTTGGTTTGTTTATGTTTGGTAAATTTTCCTAATCTAGGCTGTGTACTTATCTATCACATTCAAGTCTATCATAAAAATGAAGTTTATTAATATTAGTGGTAATGGTTCATTTAGAGTTATCAATTTTAATTAGAATAACCTAAAATTTTTATCATACTGTGCTATTTGGCTTGTTTATCTTTGGTAAATTTTCCTAAACTGAGCAATATACTTATCTATTACATTCTAGTCTACCATGAGAATGCAGTTTATTAATCAAGTTTATTAGGGTAGTCTATATCTTTGGGTTATCAGTTTAAATAAGAATAAAATTGTGATCATACGTTGATATTTGATTTGTTAATCTTTGGCAAATTAAGTAATGTATTTATCTATCACATTCTGGTATAGCATGAGAATGTAGTTTATTAATCAAGTTTATTAATGATACAACATAAACTAATATTGCCATACAAAATTATGATTTCAGCATATGCCTCTGCTAAAAATATAACAAATTGAATTGGAGTGAAAAAATGTTATGCTTAGTAATATTGTTATGATATGTAATTAAAGTACACATGTATTTTTAGGCGGATTTAAAGAATTTTTTCCAAAGGTATGGAGAAGTAAAGGCCGTGTTGTGTCGCTGGAAAAATGATGATATTGGATATGCGTATGTATTTTACCTTTAAAAGTCTTATTAAGTAAGCAACTAATAAGTTATCATTATATAGTCATTTTTTATACATAAATAATAGAAAATATCTGAAGACCATTCTGCTGCTAAGACATGAAGTGAGTGTTTGTAAGAAAGATATAATCAAATTAATAACAAATGTTGGATTATTCATTTATTCATATTTTAATAGTGTAATGTAAAAGCATAAGTACTGGACATTTTGTTGAGGGCTTGTTAAACGATTTTGATAGTAAAGTGATGTTTGGAAATTATCTTATAAATATTGCCAAATAGATATTGATAACCCCATTATTAAATGCATTCATTTAACATATTCAGATGTGATCATTTGCAGAATTCTGATTTTTTTTATGTTTACAAAACCAAAATTTTTAGGACAAATATATCATTCGGATATTACTTAAATTTCACACTTTTAGACTGTGATAAGTTTAGTAAGAGACATATTGTACAGAAAGCTTTTTGTTTTAGTGAAATGAATTTATTGTGAACTGATACTTTATTAAATAACTTAAGAGCTTTCCAAAATTTTTTGCATTCCTTGAACTGTTCTCTTCCTGCCAGTTCATCTCCAACACTTGCTAATATGCATATTTCTAGTTCTAATAGGATATTTAAGTTTAGTGAGAAGCTGTTTTCTCCATCAAAATGTCTTTCTGATCATACCATTCATTCATATGCTTGCAAGCCCTTCCTTCCTTCCAAAAAAGGCTGTTCTCCAATATTCTACTTCCAACCTCGTACCCCAAAAAGCAATCTAAACATAGAAATTATTTACATTATTTTTGATAAATTTTAGAAAGTATACTATTTGCATTGCTAATTAAATTGTTTGAAATATGGATATATACTTGCTTGTACATATGTGTTACATTAATATTTTGAATTGTTTGAAATTATGTAATATTTTTACTCCACGGTACTTTTCAAGATGTTTAAAATGGAATTGCAGCTATCACTGCACATAAATTGACATTGGATAAGTGAGTTTTTCTTAAGTTTAATAATGTATTTCATATAGCATTTTGTTATGTTTTTATTGTGCTTTATGTGATCATTTTATAATTTTATCCTAATTATAAAATGATCTTCATAATTTTATAATTAGGATAAAATTTTATTCAACCACTTTAAATATAAAAGAAATTTTCCCACATGGCGCATTGTTATGACAATACAATACGTAAAACGAACTGACATAGACAAAGTAGACATGAATGTAAACAAACCTGGTCTCTTTAATAGACACATGATTCTTTATAGCCAATGACAATGCTTATTATCAGTAACTCTGTATCGTGTCAGATTCCATCATTCACCAATTGAGAATACTGCATGTGCTAACCATTGCTTAGACAGTGACATGATTGCTTAGATCTTTTTTACATGGATTCCTTGATACATGAAGTAACCAGATGTTGAATATAGTGAATAGGCATAAGATCCATATATTTGACATGACATATGCTTTAGCCAAAGCTTTTGCAGTTACTTTTTTCTTAGGTCCTATTTTCTTCTTTTTTTTTTTTTTTCTGTCATAGTCATTCTTGACCATATATTGTACAGAAGATTTAGATAAAGGTAGGTCATTTGCTATTTGTTTAGATATAAGTATTTGTAAAATACTGTAACTCTTTTAAGCAATAAAATTCTTTTAAGGTGCCTCATAGGTTTATTGTTGAAAAATTGACAAGTTAGAACATGAAGAAGAAAGTAGTATTGGTTTGCGTAATTGAAACAAATTTCTTATTGTTAGAAAAGATGCTTAAAGGGAAGCAAACTGATATGAATTAATAAAAAAAAAAAAAAAAAAAAAAAAAAAAACTCATAAATATTTTGTAGTGTGCTGTGTCTACAAAATATGTTTTCTAACTTTTAATGTATAATTATGCTAATCTTGTTTAAGAATGTCATAAATTACATGTCATTAATGTCCTAAATTACATGTGTTTTAAAGTATGAAATGTGTGCTTGTAATTTTAATAGTGCTTTTTTAAAAAATATTTTTTTAAAATAGTAAATAAACTTAAATAGTTTAATAGTGATCATGTAAATCTATAATGACTGAGGGTATCTGACTACCTAATTTAATTATTTGTAGCTAATTGCTTACCCTTAAAAGTTACGCATTGCTTTTAAGTTATGCTTAAAAGTTATGCTTTGCATGCTAAATCAAGTTATTGCATTTCATTAATCCTTACTATGGTTACAAGATACAGTACAAAAATTTAAAACTTATTCCGTACAGCTAGTGAGACTTAAAATAATGAAAAACAACTTACCTCTGATGTTTTAGTGGCTTATTGCAACCTTAAAGTATATTAACTGGGTTATAACTGTAGGAACGCTATACAAAGCTTATGACACTCATTTTGTCAGACAGACAAAGCATAACTATCTTTCAAAACTTACTAACCATGCCAGCATTGAGCATTCAGGTCTGTTCTGATGAGCACATATCTCAGCATGCAGCAAGTCGTGGCTGCAGCCAGTCTTCTGTTACAGATCATGCTGAGTATGATTTTACTTCTCATTTTAACCTATGCTGTTTGACAAAATCTGCTTGCTATTTATTAAACCTCTAGACTGAATAAGTGCATAACAAAATGAAACATAACAGAAAAAATCAGCATAAAGCTAACGGTTTTTAAAATGTCACTAAGCTTCGCTTATTAAGTGTAAAGTATTTAATGTTATTTGATAAATTTTATAAAATTCATGTTATTCTTAAATTTTTAGTCCAAAGGGGTTTGTTCCTGAGGAACTATTGTTTTTATTTTGCATTGAATCACTCTGAATGTCCATTTCACTTTTTAAACTGTTGCCACCAAATGTTATTGCCCTATATTATATTTGAAGAAATTAAATAATGAAGAATCTGTATAAATTTATGTTTTTTCGCATTGTGATAAAACAATGGTACCTAGAGCCATCAAATTTTGAATAACATAATCCTCCTGCGAATATGGGCATGTGGAAGCCAAATTTGAAATTTGGATTTTGTTTTATTACCGATTTCATATTTTGTAAAACTTTAACGAATTTTTGATTAACAAACTCAAGGATTTCAAAACGAACAAGGTCAGTGTTGTATAGAAGAAACATTTTTATCTCTAGCGTAGCGCTCTGTATCGAAAATTCTAAAGATATGCTTATTTAAAAATTATTTTGCAATATTGCTCTTGAACTGAATTTTATGGTTTAAATGTGAAGAACATGATATTTATAAATAAAGGTAACAGACAAAATGTTAAAAAAAAAAAAAAACCACTTTGGACATAATTTAAAATCTGAAACCTTTCAGATTTTTTCATAATTAATTTATTAAATTATGTTTAATATAATGCATCCTACTCACAGATCTGTTTTATTCTTAGGGTGGTATTACAAAAGTAAAGCTCAGGCATAGATAATATCTTTAATTGAATTATTCAGTTCCATTTGCTGATAGCTTAATTTTATTCATTGATGATTTGCTTAATTTTATTCATTAATGGTCCTTAAAATTCTTTGATTTCCATGGGAAAAAATGCATATGAACCCCGTAAAATAATTCCTGTGTTCATATTTACTAAAACTCTACAGTTTCTTTTTTATAAAAGACTTCATATATTAATACGGGAAAGCTGTTAAATTCCTGAATATATAAATTTGTATAAACATGCATTTTAATTTTAGTAATATAATTTGAAACCAACGATTTTCTATTTGTATGCATCTTTTGAAATTTCACTTACAGCTGCCATTTGCATATAATTTGAATACAGATTAGTTTTAATTTTGCTTTTCTTTTTAGAATTGTAAAATTTTATTTCAAGCATGATGCGGATAGAGTTCTTCGAGAAGTAAGTGAAGTGTACTTGAAAGGTTATCACATGCCTGTTAAACTTGCAAGAAGATCAGACCACAGGTAAGACATATTTTTATCATTTAAAAAATTTCAGTTAATTCTTTTTTAAAGCACCCACCACTACAGTTTGTTGCCTAAATCAGCAAACTGCTAAGTTTATATTGCTGATTACTAAATTTATAACATGCAAATATTTGTTTCTCAGACTCAGTCACCATGATGCATCATCATCTTTAGAAGTTATATACCATAAAATTAACTGTACCATACCAAACTCTGTTACTAATGGCCTATGCAAATTACTGTATTACTAAAGGCCTTGGGCATCCATCTGGATTTCGGACTGGATGCCCAACTCTGAAATCCGTATGTCCAATGTCTGGAATGATCATTTAATATCCAAATCTCTGTATCACAGCCAATAAAAAAATAAGCAAATAAGCAGAATAATATAGAAACTTCCTCCTTCCCTTACAGAGTCTAGGAATGTAGGATATTGGTAAAAGTACATGTTTTTGAAACAAAAAGAAGCAGTTGTGCCATAAATGCAGTTTTTTTTTTTTTTCTGGATTAACTGACATTCTTGCTTGTGGAATTCAAATACCTGCTGGCTAGGGAAGTGGCATGATGGTCAGTAACAATATGTTTGATTGACATTATATTGATGTTGGCCAGGATCAGACTTTTGACCCTTGTGGGCTTATGGGGGGGTTTAACATTTTTCGGTGTGGCCTAAATAATAAGTGAATTCACAATGCTACCATATCTACATGCCATCTTACAAGATTTGATCTGATGATCTAAAATCTGGAAATATCCAAAATCACTGGATGGCTAACAATTCTGGATCTCGTACTTTGTACTGTATCAGGCTATTGTGATAAAAAGTGCTCATGATTGGTTGAGCAGTAATATCACTGATCACTGGTAATTAAACCCAAGTTCAAGTCTCAATGAATGGACTGGCTGCATGGGAATTTTCATTATTTTCAGCATTTGGTATATGAATATGAGCCAGTTTTCTATAGTAATCAGAACAGAGCCATTTCCTAGACTCATTGCTCTCCAGTCTTTTCAATAACGTTCTTGTTTGAAAGGCATGAAAGAACTTATGTTTTTGTGTATTATGGTTGTCAGATTCTTTTTAAAAGTTATTAAGTTATCCATCATTGTGCTTTTTCTGCATTGTAACATGTATGCGAGTTTTGAATGGTTAGATTTCAGTCATTAGAGGAAGTATTTAGAAAATTTATTCAAGACTGAGAACAACTGGTGGGATAAATTAAAGGCATGATAATAATTGTATATGTAACATCAATGATATTGGATAAAATGCAATGAAATTTAGTATAATTTAGGTAACAGAACTCAGTATCTTCATATAATCATTTTTAGAGAGAGAGAGAGATCAAGTGATATTAAATGGATTGTAATATTTTAAATAATATTTATAAACAAGAAGATTTAACTATAGAAGCCAGAAGAAGTGAGAACTGCATGTTGTCTTCTGAAGTGATGATTGTTTTTATAACAACGGCATAGGAGCCAAAACTGAGTTACTATGCCGGCAGTCTAGAAATGTTCTTTGCATTTTAAAAGTTGTTTGGGAGCATTGCAGTACTCTCTTGTGGGATGACTGTTACAAGATAGGATCCTATCTCTCAATAAAGTATATCAATATGCATAATTGCATAATTAATTATAAGGAAATTAATAATGTACTAAAATATATTGTAACTTTAAAATGAAAATATTGATGATAACTTTAATTCACTGTTGAATAAAATAGCATCAAATTTTAATGTACAGCTACAAACTTGGTAACAGTTATATACCATTTATCATGATTACAGATTAATAAGGTTCACCAAATAAAATACAGTCAAAAGTCGTTAATCCGGACTCGTCGGGACTTCAGCGATTCCGTATTATCGATTTTTCCGGATTATAGATCATCAGTTTAAATCTCGTAAGATGGCATGCAGAAATTATAAAATTAAAAATATGAAACCGTAATTTATGAAATAAAGAACAATTATGATCTAAAGGGTATCAAAATTTACAAAAAGAAAAAAGCTTAATATTTATTTGTTTACTTTATTAAACATTTCTTTCAATGTAAGTTGTTTAAGTTTTGCTTCGTTTTATGTGATAATACTTCTCTTTAATTCTATTAAACAGACATAATTTCTTGTTCAGTTACAAAGTTCCGCTGTTCAAGTCCTATAATTGCTGTGTCGAGAATACCGACTAATTTGTCAATCGAAATTTTTTCGTTTTCAATAACCTCTGTCACTTTTCTTCGCTATCGGAAGCGAATTATAATGACGAGGAACTTGATTTTAAATCATATCAAAGACGGAGTATATCGAGATGAAATACTACATTTAGTAAGGAATTATAAGCCAAATAAAATAAAAAACATCTGCCCTGAAGATAAGGATAGTGCTGACAGATCAACTTCCAATTCATTGGCGCCCGCCGCCGAGCAGCGTGAATTGATATAAACAAGATTTCGGATTTCAAAACATACTTTCGCTTTAGATCCTTTACATATTAACAAATATATATCGGAAATTCTATTTGACATAATCGAAAGTTCAAGCTTACTTTTATAAAATTGCTCTTAACAGTCTGCAAAAAATAATAAGCCGGATCCAATTCGAAAATTAAGGAACAACGCAATCATGCAACATTAACTGAAATAGATAATTAGATAATTTTAGCTTATACGTCCATTACACATAAAATGCGCACGCGAAAACGTATTCTGCACTTGCGCACACTCATATGCGCAGTCGTAAAAGGTCTTACGCGCACACGTGAACGCCTTTGCGCATGTGTCAACGCGGCGCATGCGCAGAAAGTTTTTAGTTTTTATGTCCGGATTATAGATCATTCCGAATTATGGGTGTCCGAATTAACGACTTTTGACTGTATACATAAAATGAGCCAACGAGCATATTTTGATATGCGTCTTTTAAACGCACCTGCGGGATTTCTAAACGTTTTCCATTTTTTTTGTTGTTTATATTAAAAAAGTACTAAGAAATAATATTCAAGATTGAGTAGTTTTTAAAAAATTTAAATTATATATTTCATTGAAACACAAGTTGCTATCAATTTTTAGTAAACATTTTCAGTAGTTTCGTAAAAAATATTTTGAAACATTTTGATTTTGTATTTACCAAAATTTACTGAATTTATGTGTAATTGAATTACTTTCTAGTAATGAAGACCAGAATGGAGTGGCTAGTTTCAAGCAAAATGTTGATTGTAAAGCTCTTCCACATCCTACAAGATACAATAATTCTTTCCCTTATTCAAATCCCAGTAAGTTAAGTAAAATTTGCTAAAAGCAGATTTTATATTTAATCAGGTTTGGCGACTAATGCCTTAAAACTTAAGTATGAAACTTTGTGTCTTTTAAATTTGATGTAAGTAATGTAAAATGCAAATAAATGTTAAGATATCTAAATAAAAGACATACATAGGCTGCAGAAAAGTAATATAAAATAAAATGCCAAAATATGCAAAATAAAGCTAATTTTGTACAGCTGATAAATTTTATGCTTATCTCTGAAATATAGGAAATGGTAAGGTGACAATTTACCAGATTTTAGTCAAATTTTGAACAATTTTAGAGTTTAATAAATTAAGAAATTAATTCACAGAATTTTGTATTTGTCAATATTCATGTTAATCAGTTGTAGCATATATATATGTGAGGGGTAGCATTACCTTCTGATATTGATATACATATATATAGATATGCTCCCTGGATGTCTTGTGTTATGTGGTGTTTATTACTGATATTATGTGATGGTGTATTATCAGTATCAGTGCTGTCAGTTTTTTTATCAAAATAGATAAAAATATCTGATTATAACTTTTTAAAACCATTATGCTCAAAACTAGTTTCTGCCATTTTTAAAATGGGTAATTGGAAGAAAGTAATGAAATTGCTGGAAATTTATTAGAGTTCATCCTGTAGTAGAGAAGAATATATTTAAATTAAAACATGTTCAGCTGGAGTTTCACAGTGTTTATTCAAAGATTATGTAACGCAAATTTACCATTCTTGTTTGCATTAATCTTTTCCATGAAGTAGACTAGAAGAGAAGGAAAACCATTTTCTCTCTTGGTTAGCAACTTGAAGAGTTTTTTTTCTTTTTCTCTTTTCTTAATTTACTATATACAAGTTGAGGGAAGGAAGGGAAGAGAATATTCTTTCTAGTCTAGCAGAACTTGCATACATTCTCAATGTTGTGAAAACAAGAATTGTAAAATTTTCTTGCAGAACTTTCTTTTCAGTGTCTGATTTTAATTTGTTTTGTATTTTATTCATTCAGTGCAGTAACAAGCTGCTTAGTATTTATTGAATATATAATGTATAATTGCCAGCTGTCCCAGTTTTTCAATTCATTTCCCAGTAGACTGCTGAATTTCCTGATTTTTAATTTTTACATTTACCAAGGAAGTGTTTTTTTTACAGTTTAAATTTTATTATGGAAAAAATGAAGATTAAATTGGACAAATTTCATTCATACTTGCCCAGTGATCTTCATAATTTTTCTTTTAAAATTTATGTTAATGTATGGCAGACATTTTTAGTACTATACATGGAGATTTAACCAATGTTTAATCAGTAAATATTTGTATTTCATTTTATTTTAATCAATACATAGAGTCATTAGGTCCATTATGGTACAGAAAACATGAAAAATAAATACTACCTTCACTGGGATCCTTCCATTTGCTTGCCAGGCATGCTTCCAGTTACACCATGAAGACATGGGGGCTTTGAACTTAATCTCCAAATCCTGGTAGTTATGAATTATTTTCCACCAGATGTTAGTTTGCGCCACTGTATTTTTTTTAAAGGGCAGGAGATGTAAAAAATATTTAATGCCCTTGCCTGGATTTGAAATCTAGACCTGATTGTTAGTCGAATGCGCTTCAAATTACACCATGAAGGCACAGTAAGGAGGGGAAAAGTATTTTACAAATATATGGTGCATTACTGAGTTTATCCACACACAGTAGTATGCATATTAATTATTAATTTTATTTTTATAATCTTTAAAAGCACTTTAATAAATTAAAGCTTTCTTTCCTAACTCGGAAGTTTCTCAGTATGAAAATGTAAGAAAATTACAAAATGAAATTAGTCAAACAATATGAAATTTGAAATATGTATTTAAATATTAATGTATTTAATTAATGTATGTAATTATAAAGCTAATTTAAATCAATTTTGAGTTCTTTTAAAATAGTGTCATTGTACAGCAGGAAAACCTGAGTTTCCATATTTTCAAGGCTGCCTGCTGAATATATGTTATCTAGCCTTTTATTGGTTACATATGTTATCAAGCTTCTTGGCTATATAACCTGCTCTCAGTAAACTTTTCATACGCACAAAAGTGGGATGCTTGTAATAGATAATAGATTATTACAACAGTAAAAGAACTTTGCTATTGTGACATTAAAGGTGCATTTGTCTTTTGGAGATCTTAAATGATAAAGTCTGTCATACTGGCTTGATGTTTAGAAAGGCTATGTCTTCTGGCTGTTTTTCTTCATCCTTCATTAATTTCCTTGCAAGTGAAGCTGAAACATGTTGTAAATGAGTATTTATTTAAATATCTTCCATACCAAGAGTATGGAACATGTAGCAAACAACATAATAGCAAACAACATGTAGTATGGAACATGTAGCAAACAACTCATAAAAGCAAACAACATGTAGGTCAACCAGGAGGTTGACCTACATGTTGTTTGCTTTTATGATTGTTATTATCTCTGCACTCTTTTTGATCAGCTTTCATTCTTCAAGTTTTGGCAGTAATATAGATGGGTCCCTATGGGCTTATGGTAAGTTTGTGTCTGAATCTTTTGAAAACTGGTCTAATATGTGGTGTAAAGGGATTGTAAGAGCACCTTCCAGTTAATTTAATTTCGTTTACTTATTGTGTATGGTAGTACAGTCAAATACCGAAAATCGAAATCCGCATTGCTTCTCAAAGTATAAACATTCAGTTTATAGCTTTCGGAAGCCGCAACATTGAGTATGGAATATCGAAGAAATACTTAACGAATAATGACGTCATAATTACCGAATAATAATGAGTCATAACAGAAATACCAAATTATTGACATCATGCTAAAAGTTATTTTCCCTCAAATCTGCATCGAGGTAAAAAAGCAGATGATTCATTCAACTCTTTTTTCAAGTTCACGATTCACGTTGTATTTTCTGAGCTTTGTTATTTTAAGAGATTATTTAGTGCTGCCTTTTTTTTTATCCAGATATTTTGTGGATAAATTAAGAGTATTTTAAATTTCAGCCCTTTTTAATACAATGATAGATAAGAAACGTACTCATGATTTTACTGCTTGCAACGTTGAAAAATGTAAACACATTGCATTGACAGTAATGCAGAAAGTGCAAATTCTGCAAAAGATGGAGGCAGGTTCCACTTTTGGAACTAATTTTTTTTCCGTGGAATCCTTTGTCCCCCGTCTTGTTTAATCTTCCTACAAAATGTGGCGTCATTCTCGCAAATAGATCGTGCTACAGAACACTGTGAGCACTGTCAGTTTAATTATGGCCACCCGTTATGTTTATTAATATCTCCTTTTGTATTACTTGATTCCTTCTTCTAGAATACGAAATTTAGGCTTAATCCAAATATAATTCGCACATTTTTAATTTATTTAAAGAATTGTATTTAAAAATATTTTCTATAAATTTTTCCAAAAAAAATTTTGTATTATAACCTATAACATTTTTAACATAATCTTAAAGTAGATGTATTCCTAAGCATATCTGCAAAAAAATTAGTTTTTTATTCAAAATATCCTAAGATATACGTGAACTTGCACTTCAAATTCACATTTTGAAATTTGGCGGGCGTACTTAATACTAAAGTAAGTAGGTTACTATAAATTAAGAATTTCTTCAAATGAATTATTCTTGTGGCAAACTGAAAAACGTATGCCTATATAAATTTTTTAAACTTCTTGCCAAAAATTTCAAAATTTAATATCTAGGAATAATGTGAGTCGTAGAATCGAAATATGGAAAAAAAAATTATATGCTATTTCAGAAAAAGTCCGATTTTGTGTCAAAATACCTATGTTAGAATAATGCTATATATAAATCTAATATGTATTTTAAGTCGCGCTTTCGAGACATAAAAAACACAATTTGAATTTTGTCAACTGGCCAAGTAGAGCAGGAGATACAGAACTGCTTTTTGCGCAGTGTACAAATTTCTACACGATACACACAAGGTACAAGGTAAGGTATGCCAGGAACCTGCTTCGTGACTGCGCCACCTTATGAGTGCTCTCTCTTTTTGAAGTAAGTAGAACTTACTTCTTATTTAAATACTACTTTTAACTCATTTGCATTCAGTGCAATTCTAAAAATTCATTCTAGTAAGGAATTGTAAGTGAGAAACAAGAATTGAAAGAATCAAGAATTGAAAGAAAAGTAAGGGTTTCAAAATTAAAATACATCTTACACTATGCTTCCCAGTAATGAATAAGTGAAAAAGTCAATTTTTCTCCCACTACTTCATTATGTCTGGTCATGGAAAATTAGGGAAATTTAAAATTGAACCCTGTTAAAATAATTAAAAATCATAGTTTAAGTCATGGTAATTAAAACATTGTGGCTTAGAAATAAGGTGCCACTGTATTACAATTAGTAATTTTAGGTATGTATTCTTTTTTAATGCTGAAAAACTAAGGCTTTCTTTAATTTTTTCTTGAATTGTTAAAAGTATATGAAGGCAGCTGTGTGGGAGAAATTTAATAGTTTTAAAATATTAAGGTTTTACTTTTGAAATGAAGGTTTAAGACTAAAATTGTGAGTTTTGATTTTTTCATTGTGAATAAAAATAGAGATATTATCTAGCAAAAAAAAAAAAAAAAAAAAAACTTCATTTGTTCTTGTATATTAATTTCATTAAGTACATTTTTTCATATGTGTTTTTTTATTAATATATCATTATTTTTTCCCATTGTAAAACCATTAAATCCCAATTCCAGTCATTTGGAATTCTTATGTGAATCCAAATGGAGTAATTTGGGATAAAGCAAAATCCTTTTATTCTGCCTGTATGTCTTAGTAAGAATTATCTTGCTAATGAAACTATAAGAAGAAAACACATGCACACATATATCTGTATACATATGCTTTATTTCTATTTAAATTGAATTGTAATAAGTTGTTTATACTTCTTCTCATGATGGCACCTAAAAACAGTTAATTCTGAAATATATAATAAAGTATTTCTAAAATGCTATTTAAAAATTTTAGCATT